TGCACACAGTATACATTCCAGGGCTCCGTCTTTTGCCCCCAGTGATGCTAATGGCGAGAGGGCAAATATTTAAAGGAAAGAACCAATTGTTCATAAAGAGAAACTCTCGAAATCTCCGCCTATTTGCAGGACCAATTAAAATGGATGCTCTCACAACTTTAATTATCTTAGGAAAAAAGACACAAGAAGCTGTATCTCAACATTTCAAATCTCTTGCTCGCATCGGGACAAACATGGGCAAACTAATTTAAAAAAAAAAAGCACTAGGCCACTCTGTAAGGAAACCTTCCCATTATTCCAAGCAAATCACTTTGCTTGCAGATCAGGGGCAAGCGGTAGGTCTAATCCTTCATCATTAATGGTGAGAACATCAGACAGAAAGTCAGGAGTCCCGGACCTGCCATCTTAAGGGTGACCTTGGACAAGTTTTTAAAGATTTGACATTCATTTATTCAACAAATACTTATTGAGTGTTTGTGAGATCCCTGTTCTCATGGAATTTATATTCTAATGGAAGAAGAAAGAGTTCATATAATAAATAGACAAACATAAAGATAGGCAGGAAGAAGTCAGCAGACAGTGGTAGGTAATTTGCAGAGAATTAAGACAGTAATAAAATAGATAGTGACTGAGGTGGCTAATTTAGGCTGTGCAGTCATTTTAGAAAAGGAAATATTTAAGCTAAAATCTGAGGAGGGCATTTCTCCTTTCTGGACTTCTACATCCTTTTCTGTAAAATATGACTGCTGAACTGGAAGCTTTTCAAAGTCTCATCTAGTTCTAGGAATTTGTAATTTCATGACTATTGGGGATATATTATATAGGTGTGTGCACACATATTTTTAAATTCAAATATTATCCTATATTTGGTTAAGTAAATCATGAACTTCGCTTTGAAGACATTTAAGGTAACAGTAAATTACGTGTAAGGCTCTAAATGTAGCTTGGCATACTGGACTTCTGTTACTGTTCTCTGAGCTCTGAGAGGCAAGGGCATATTTGACTAATATTTTGGAAATATAGCCAAACTGCATTCTGGAAAGGGTTAACATGTTCCTGAACATTTCAAAGTAGGCAAAATACATGCATTTGTAATGAGGTTAGAAACTGTCTTAAACTAATTCTTTTGGCGATCACTTATAACCACAAATTCAGACATACTGAAATTTTAAAAGGTGAAACTACGCCACATGTTCTTTTTTACATAAAAATGGGGAAAAAAGTTTGAGGTGATAAGGTATGGAATTTTTTAAAGGAAATAACCATATTTTGCCCCATATTTTTCATGCACCAGTTAGCTAGAAAATTACAAAAGCCAAAAAACTCAGATAAACCATACCACAAGGATTAACACATTCATCCCCGCCCCGCTGCCCTCACGTCCCTGTCTTTCTCCCTCCCACCCCAAGCTGGGGCGTATTTCTGGAATGGAAATAAAAGCCTCTCAAACTGTTAAAAAATGAGGACCTCTGAATTTTTAATTCTGTTAACTAATCATTAGAAAACTAGAAATTACTGTCTCTCCGAGAACCAGTGAGGTAGCAAGAACCAGAGACTCTGTGTTTAATTTTGCAGGAGCTGGCTGGTTTCCCAGCAACACACTGATTTGTGGGGCCACTACTTTGGGCATCTAGAGAATAATTAAATATTAAGTCTCTCTCTGATGTGTGCAAAGTCTGCCTAAGTGGGTTAGCTGCCACAGTGAAGGTAGCAGTCCCACATTTTTTGGTAATTGAACATTGCAATATCATTATCTATTCTTATCCTTACTCTGTAAGAACTCGTCTCTGTCCTTAATATCACCCAAAGTACCTCTGAGAACAAAGGGAATAGCGAGAAAATGAAAAAAACAAGCGCTCGTCCGGTCAACACTTCACCTAGGGATCTCCTAGGTGTTTGGGATATGGAGATGCAGAGTGCAGTTTAATGTGGGTGACAGAAATGATGAGGGGGACACGCCATCCTCTGTCTCCTCTAGTTCAAGCTGCCATTTTACACACCAAGCAGCCAGGCACACTGATTAAGAATCTTCCTCCAAATTATAAAACCAGTGGTAGAGGGAGGATGGACACACATACTGTCTGTCCACTAGAGCGCTGATCTTTCTAATGCTCTCAAGAAAGGTAACACAATTTTTGAAAAACAGTAATTTAAGAGACAATTGAAACTACGGGCATAGCTTTGTAACATTCCAGAAGTTGCTGGTGTTTCTGTTCTAAACGCAATTTTTTCTGCATTCATCCATCAAGTAACAAGAAGTTATTAACGATTATAAATCATATTCCCCCATCAAATGCACCTGTCCTTCAAAATGGATTTCAATCAGTAATGCCAGAGAGACATCTTTAATTTCTAAAGGAGGCGGGGGCACTCGCTGATTGACTTCCGGAGAAGACTCTAGATAGGTGAGTAGCATCATTAAACCATTGTGGTGGCTTTCTTATTTGCACTACCACATATTTAACAAATCTAGATCATTACGTACGAAGAACAGGGAAAATGTGGTTACCTAAGGGGAAAGCAGAGAGGAGAGAAAATGAAAACGGTGAGGGGATGTGAGATGACCTGTACTAGAGTCATTCCGAGGCTCTTGGGAAAGATTTCCTAGGGGGCCTAAAAAAGTTTCCACCACCACAGAAGAAATATTGGTGAAATGCAGTTACATATGGATTTGGCAAACGAGAGAAAACAGTTGGCATCTGTAACAATAAAGTCAAGTCAGTTTAGAAAGGTGCTCAAGAAAATAATCTTAATTACAAGCCAAGTTGCTTTAAGTCTTGGTTCTGGAAAAAGTTAAGATATCCAGGAACTAAAATCTCAAAAATATTCAGAAATCTTTGTACTCATAAAAAAGTTACAACTTGTTCCTTGAGTAATTAGAACATTAAGAAAAGCTTAAAAGAAGAAAGAGCAAAGATACTCATTTATAAAGAGCTTGGGCTCCAATATCAAAGTGTATGTTCTAGTCTTTCAATATGTCAGAAAATATGGACATTTTCTCTTTTCCCAACTTCTACACTGTTTCCTAGAATCTTTAGAATATTAGGAATCTGACATCACATAAGGCTGCAACCAGAGAAATCAGCTTCATCATCCTGGCAGGAAGGGGACACTGATTGAGGTTGAGAACTTGAAAAGTGAAGGCTGTAAGAGGAAAGTCCATAACTGTAGTCACATTCATTTGCTTCAGGACCCAAGTCAGAACCTACAGTTCCACAGAGCAAAAATAATGTGATCGAATTTAGGGTTTACCCCAGGGATGCCACATGAACCTTCATGTTTGCTAAAAACAAACACATCTCTAACTTCTATGCCCTGTACCTGGAATAGAGCTTGCGGCTAGACTGCTCTTTAAAAAAAAATAAATTGCAAGTGGTTTCCTGAAGTAATTCAAGGCAAAACGTTGAGACTGCACATGTTAAAGTCACAGTGCTTCAGAGAGAGGAAGAAAGTATGATTCTGATATTCATGACTTTTTAACTACAATCCACTTCAGCCATTTGACAAGACTAAATAATTCTTGATAGGTCTATCTTTTTTGAATCTCAGTTTCTCTAACTCTGAGAGCAAACAATAGTACTGAACTCTCCATCTCACAGAGGGAAATAAGACTATATCTGATAATAATTATAAAGATATTCTGTGATGAGCCCCAAGATTTTCTTAAAATCTGATTCATTTTTCTAAAGTTATTTTTCTTTAAAGTAATAAGCATATACATTATAAACTTGCTTTAAAGTTAGAAGGTAGAATGAGTTGAAGTTAGACCTCTAGGAAACTCTTTTGCAATGGAGATTATCAGGGAAGTCCTGGTTTCTAACACTTTCTGACATGATGGCCTAACCCTGCATGCTAAAGCACGTGATTAAGATTCCCAACCCTATGTCCTTAGGAAGCATCAATTTAAAATTTAAGCCAAACTTCAACAGCCATCATGTTTCTTTGATTTAAAAATTAACATTCTTATGTATTCAATCAGTAGAGATTTAAAATCTGAGTATGTGCACAGGATACTTAGAGTCAAAAGATGGTAAATATGTCCTCTAGGGCTTCAATTTTCATGGTGGTGGGAAAACAAAGCTTTTAACAGTAATGAATAATAATAATAATTATAAATAATTAAGTCTCAAATATGTGGAATTCAAGGATCCATTAAGCTTGCAATGCTCAGAGAAGGTTCCAGAAACAAGAAGGACTGAGTAAGCCTTGAAGTACCACACAGAGAAACTAAGATCTGTGTCTCTACTAAATTGTGTCTATCTAAATACAGGGAGAAGGGTCAGCATCTTAGAACCTGGGCAGAGCACGAAAGAAATGAACTAGCTAAACTGTCCACTGTATTTCCATTCAAATCTGCATTTTTCCTGGGAAAGAGTAGGCCACTATAATTAACTGATGCTGTGGGCCATCCTATCTCCTATTAAGAGAAAAATAATGTCCAAGTATTCTGTGTGGAAGACATCATCTACCATGCATATGCATGTTCAAGCATATGGAAAAATAAAAATAAACTTTGTTGCAAATATTCAACTACTAAATAGCTGATTGATAAATATATTGGAAAGTTTATATTACCAAGATGATTAGCCAGTTGACAGTAGTTTAAAGAAATCAAGAACTGACCTCTAATTATTGTGTTTTTTTGCCTTTAATTATTTTTTTTTTTTTGCCTTTTGAGATGGAGTCCCACTCTGCCGCCCAGGCTGGAGTGCAGTCGTATAATCTCACCCACTGCTATCTATGCCTCCCAGGTTTAAGCGATTCTCCTGCCTCAGTCTCCTGAGTGGCTGGGACTACAGGTGCGTGCCACCACGCCTGGCTAATTTTTGTAGTTTTAACAGAGATGGGGTTTCGCTATGTTGGCTACGCTGGTCTCAAACTCCTGGCCTCAGGTGATCCTCCTGCCTCTGCCTCCCAAAATGCTGGGATTACAGGTGTGAGCCACCCGCCTGGCCTAATTATTGCTAGTAAGAAAAATAATCATTCAGACACTCCCTTACCTGTCTCTGGGGCCAAGAGGCTTTGAGAATGGCTTCAGTTCTAAAGAACACGAGGAGCTTGCTGTCCTCCTCAGTCAGGTGAAATGATTGACCCAAAATCTGCAGCACGTGAATGCGGGGTCGCACCGGCCAGGCGTCATCAGCACAGAAAGGCCGCAGCCACTCCAGCAGGTCCTCAGATGAAACCAGATCCTCTCTGCAGGGCAAAAATCCAGAGGTATGTATAAACTCCTAAGTCTTATTTTCCCCCTTCCAGTAATCAAATGTGGTCACCGACCTAACCCTTGTTTGCTGGATGACTTCATCTTTTTCCTCTTGAAAGGAAAAATTTTGGTTTTTAAATGGCTTATAGCAAACTGTATTAGGTATTTAAAACCTATGTAAAATGAATGTAATTTTTAAACAGCATCTTATTAAAATGAGTTATATAAAGCAGATACATACCCTTGGTTAGTTTATTTCAAAATTTTATAACTAGTAAGGCTTATTTCTGTTAATAATACCAATAGTGCAAGATTCCATTGTAGTAATTTTATATACATGATTACTAGTTGACAATAATTAAGCGAAGTAGGTATAATAAGTTACTTTTTACAGCTGAACCAACAAACTTTAGGGAAGTGATATAATATGCCCTCACAAATGTATAATAGTATATATACCATGGAATTTATGCAGCCATCAAAAATGATGAGTTCGTGTCCTTTGTAGGGACATGGATGAACCTGGAAACCATCATTCTCAGCAAACTGACACAAGAGCAGAAAATCAAACACTGCATGTTCTCACTCATAGGTGGGTGTTGAACAATGAGAACACGTGGACACCGGGGGGGAGCACTACACAGTGGGGTCTGTTGGGGTAAATAGGGGAGGGACAGCCGGGGGTGGCGAGAGATAGCATGGGGAGAAATGCCAGATGTAGATGATGGGGAGGAAGGCAGCAAATCACACTGCCATGTGTGTACCTATGCAACAATCTTGCATGTTCTTCACATGTACCCCAAAACCTAAAATGCAATTAAAAAAATGTATAATAGTGCAGTATGACCCCAAAGCTCAAGTTCGCTCAAGTTTGTTCTACCACTTTTCTCAGATGATTGGAATTTCAATATGTTGTAAGAGTATCAAATTTTATACTACAAAAGTAAAATATGAATACTTGCTTATTATAGGACTGTGGAGTTTAAAATGTTTCAGAAAAGGGGACAGTTTGTACAGTGTTCCATCTAGTACTGGAATCTCTTTTCCTGTAACCCCAAATGAATATCTTCTTTGATTATGTCAATGGATTATTATCTATAACTCTTAAGGGGTTATCCATAGAGAAGACTCACTTCCACAGGGGCTTGGAGACCCACGCTAAAGCACTGAATTATACAGGTTTTGTTGCAACTAGATCCTTCTGAGGATTTTAGCTATAAATCACCTAGACTGAGTACTGGTCTAATTTACCTTAAATCAAATCCCATGCTCTGATAAGATTACAAGACTTTTTTTTTTTTTTTTAACTTCTGAGAATAAAATTCTACAATGCCACTGAGTATGTCTCTCAGTATGTATTATTTAATATACTTGTCAAATGCTATCTTATGGCAATTTAAAAGATAGAATTATTTGTATTTAAGAGTAACGGAAACTACAACATACTGTGGACAACTGGTTTAAGAGTTTCCTAAATGCAGCAAGTCAGTTGTTAATTTTACCTTTAAGACTCCTTAATATTTATCAAAAATGGAAATAATTAGGGTGCAAGAATAGAATGCTACAAATATTTCTGGTAAACCTTTTGCAAGATGAACAGACAGCACAATGTAATGGAAAGACCATTAAAAAAAAATCTGACAGCCTAACTGAATCCTGACCACAGACTTTCCCAAGAACTCTAGATAAAAATCATGAATATTATCCTTCCCATGTTATAGTGACACAGACAAAGGTCCCAAGAGTGTGTCCCCTGGAATCTGTGAAACCAAGATAGCATTTACAAAGCACCTAGCAAATTATGTGGCACAGAGGAAGTGCTTAATAAATAGTAACCATCATTGTCATAATAAGAATCATCACAATAATTATCAGCAGCATCAAAGCACTACAGTTTGTGCTTAATGATACAGAGATTTAAAATATTACATGGTCTCTGCCTTCAAAGAACTAATAATACCATGGAACAGCAAGACTTTACAAGTGACTATTATCCAAATCACTAATATAAATGTGAACAACTATTTTGGAGGAAGAGTGAATAGAACCCCGAAAGGCTTCAGAGAGGACGAGGCATCTGAACCGGATCACAAAGGATAATTAGCATGTATATAAATGGAAGTGTGGGAAAATCTAATCCAGACACAGAACAGTGAGAAAAAAAACAGCAAAAGAGTTCAAAGGACAAAGAATGTTCAGGGAGAGATTAAAGCACAGATGTGTGGGTGGTAAATTAGGTGACAGAAAGCTAAGGAGGGAGAGGCCTTCTCATCTAGGTAACCAAGAGACTGAATACAAGGCTGAAAAGGCGGTGCAGTTTAATTCTTTGAAAGCACAGGCTCTGGAGGTGTCCGGCCCAGACCCAGTGCTCACGTTTGCCACTTCCTGACCATGTTACTTTGACCAAGAAGTCACTCAATAGATCAGAGCCTCAGTTTCCTTATTTGTATACTGGAGATGGATGGCAACACTTTCCTCATGGGGCTGTTGAGAAATTAAACAGAAACATAAAATAAAATAATAAATGCAAGGCATGTAATACAATGCCTGGCATATAACTAAGTGCTTCAATTAAAAGTAACCATTATTATTAAGGGTATCTGATTTTTTTTTGCATGAAATGGGAATGATAGGGGATTTCTGAGCAGTGAAACATCAAAATCATGTTAGAGATTAGAGAAAGGTATGGGCCAGGGCAGACTAAAGCACTTTTGATGAAGGCCTGAAGCCGTCTAATTCAGGAAGAAAATAATTTAAAGTTCACTTCTGACAATAAATCCTAGCCAGTTTCACATAAAAAGAAGCTGATTTTTTTTGGCCCTCCTACCCAAGTGCCAGGATGAGATAAGTAGAAAAAGCCAGAATGTGGGGAAGCGGTTGTCATGAAGACAAGTTGGAAGTTATAATAATAAGCAAAGCCCCCAATATGGTGAATAAGAATGAAACAATATTAATAATAATAACTTCTGAAGGCTTAGTATGCACCATGAATTATACTTCATCACAACTATCTTTTCCTTGTATACTGTTATCCAATTTGTGGATGAGGTAACAATCTTGGATTTAAGAATTTGCCTATGGCATTTTGAGTTGGATGACGTTTATCTAAAATTTTAAAAAAGATAAAAATAAAACATTTGTCCAAGGTCACAGAGTAAGTAGTGGCACCAATATTTGAACTTGAACTATCTGCCTGCCTTGTCAATTACTACACAATGCTACTGAACTAAATGAATATATTCCAGAACAGTGTGGCAGCGGGTTAAAATTACTCAGCTATGATGAGATATAGATTATTACTATAATATTTTTCCAGTTACTAAATCAAATTAATTCATTTTACATTACAACTTACTGTGTAGCTAATAACATTTGACATTCTAGAGGAACATGCTTTTATTTTGTGTTGATAGTTCAAATATATAATAAAATTGTGAGAACTCCTTCCTAATATAGAAGCATTATGTTCTAGAAGCACCATGTCGTAGATGCACTTCACTAACAGTGGTGCTCGATACAACTACACAGAAATGAAAGGCTGCTCTTTATTAAAAGCTGACTAGACACTATCTCCTGAAGATTCTAGTTTCAAAATTGCTTACATTTTGATTTCAAATTGAGTTCTTAAAATTCAGTCACTCTTATGGTTCAGCAAATATACAAACCAATACACACAAACATACACAAAGGGAAACAGAGAGCAAGAACCGTGATAAAATGTTAACGACTGACAAATCAAGGGGGAGAGTATATTGGTATTTTTTTTAATCCTTGTCATTTTTATAGGTGCTTGAAGTTTTTCAAGATAAACAGGTAAAAAATAGCAATTATAACTTTTATGATGTAAAAAACTAGAATAGGAAGAAGGAAAGTGATTCCATTTCTCATCTTTTCTGAAAGCAAGGAGAGGAATCAATGAATTTAAAAATTAAAAAAGAACAGCATTATTTCAAAGCATATTTACTTCACTATAAGGGTAATGCAATTGATTTTTAAAAGTCATAAAAATATATTTTGGGAGGCTGAGGCAGGTGGATCCTGAGGTCAGGAGATAGAGACCATCCTGGCCAACATGGTGAAAACCTGTCTCTACTAAAAATACAAAAATTAGCTGGATGTGGTGGCATGTGCTTATAATCCCAGCTACTTGCAAGGCTCAGGCAGGAGAATTGCTTGAACCAGGGAGTCAGAGGTTGCCGTGAGCTGAGATCACGCCACTGCAATCCAGCTTGGCAACAGAGACTCCATCTCAATTAAAAAAAAAAAGTCATGAAAAAGATAAATGAGAAAATCTCTCATAACTTCACTATAAATATATAGACAATTGCTTCCAGCTTTTTCCCTATAAGGAGGATTGGGGAGGGGATATTATACGGCAAAGGATAATTTAGTACACTATTTTTAAAAATTAGCTAATAAAGGAAACACACATGTAATCAGTTTTGGTCCAAAAGATAAGAAGTCATGTAGAATACATAAACAGCTCTATTAACAGAAAAGAACAGCAGCAGCATCAACGACAACAAAAATGTGTTCACTGAATGACTAATTTGAGGCTGTGTTACTCTGAGGCAGAATGGCTATTCATCTGGCATGTCCCTATAATGTAATGTAGCCTGAAAGGACATTCACAGAAGTACAAAAAAATGGACGGGAAATGTCAACCAAACAAAGGAAATTATTGAATCAAAGCAAGAAGACAGATTTTAAGAATATAAATAAGTGAATCTTCAGTAAGAGAGTTTTTGGGTTCTACATGGCATACACATACAAAGATAACCCAAACTTAAATTCAAATAGTTAAGGTCCATTAAAGGAGACGGTAAATATAAAAGCATTTTATAAATCATGATGCACTAATCAAAATAAAATGTTCTTATTTGAGAATGCAAGAAAGCAAGCCTGCATTCAAGCAAGCAAAACACACATATTTGAGATTTCTTTTAAATGTAAATGCCATAGAATTTGAAGTCTGAAGGGACATTAGGTCTCT